AAAAAAAAAAAAGAAAGCCAATACAAGGCATACTCTTAGCATTTACCATTAAGATGAAGACAACTAGTAAGTGAAGTGAAATTTAGTAATGTAAACCATTGCTGAACTATTGGGCTTCTAGTTCCTAAATTTTAAAAGGGTGTGCGTGTATGTGTGTGTGTGTTAGAGAGACAGAGAGAGAAGAAGACCAAAAACTTTTCTTGCTCTAAAATTCCAGAGTCTTATAATGATAAGTCTTAGTGAGACTCACTTAACAATAAAGGATAATTACTGATAATTCAAGAATTACTAGTTCTCACTATGCTAAGGTTAAATTTAACTTCTTACAAATTAAAAGATCTTCTTATAAAATGTCACAAAGGAGAAAGTTCAGACAAGACTTAGCAAAGACCTATTCAGTGTCACTATCAAGCAAATAAGGAAAGCTGAGCTGGTAGAAGGCAGACACAAGCACAACAATCTGAAATTGCTCTCCACGCCCAGTAATGATTAATTGCAATGTAGTTAGGCAAAGTACACATTCATATTTCCTATAGTCTATCGAAAGTGTCACTTTTAAACCTACCTGAGATATGAAATTATCTGAAAGATCAAATTGATGACTCCAAGTTTCTCTTCTATACAGCTTAACAGATTTTTCAACAGGAATTGCCAGTAACTATCAGAAAAAAAATTTAACACAGTTTACATTAAATTGAATTTGAAGAAGAAAAAAAGGCAGAAAATTCACGCAGATAAATTTACAAAACATAAAAGCAAATATTCTTCCCCTCAGAGATAAGGTCTGGCTATACTGCCCAGGCTAACCTTCAACTCCTGGCCTCAAGCAATCCTTCCACCTTTGCCTTCAGAGTAGCTAGGATTGCAGGTCTGGCACAAATTTGTAAAAAATTACTTAAAATTTTGATAAGCAAAAAATAGGCGATGATCACTCCATTGCTTGCACTGAAAAACAAAGAATTTGTAGTTACTTGTGTTTTTTTTTTTTTTTTTAGAGACAGTGTCTCACTGTGTTGCCCTCGGTAAAGAGTCATGGGGTCACAGCTCACAGCAACCTCCAGCTCTTGGACTTAGGCAATCCTCTTGCCTCAAGTCTCCCGAGTGGCTGGGACCACAGGCACCTGCCACAACGCCCGGCTACTTCTTTGTTGCAGTTTGGCTGGGGCTGGGTATGAACTTGGCACCCTCAGTCTATGGGGCTGGCGCCCTACTCACTGAGCCATAGGCACTGCCCTGTTACTTGTGTTTTTGTTTTTTGTTTTTTTTTAATTTTTTTTATTTTTTATTTTTTGCAGTTTTGGGCCAGGGCTGGGTTTAAACCCACCACCTCTGGCATATGAGGCCAGTGCCCTACTCCTTTGAGCCACAGGCTCCGCCCACACTTGTGTTTTTAATACTACTTTTTAAGGTGTCTAGGCCCTTTGGATCTAAAAATTCAAAAATCTCATACCTATAATCCTAGCACTCTGGGAGGCTGAAGCCGGTAGACTGCCCTGAGCTCACAGGTTTGAGACCAGCCTGAGCAAGAATGAGACCTCATTTCTAAAAACAGCCAGGTGTGTGGCAGGCACCTATAGTCCCAGCTACTTGGGAGGTCGAGGCAAGAGAATCACTTGAGCCCAAGAGTTGGAGGTTGCTGTGAGATATGATGCCAGGACACTGTCTCAAAAAAAAAAAAAAAGGAAAAGAAAAATCTCATTCAAAGGATTCTGGCTTGACTGAAGGCATTTTTTGGAAGGCAGTCGAGCCAGAATCCTTTGAATATGTTGAAACTAGATTAGTAGTAAAATTAAAACTGTATTCTTTTCATGTTCTCAAAAAAAAGTATTAATAGTAACCAGTAATAAAACTACATTAATTTTAATTTTTAAAGTGATTATATTAATATTTTGTAAGCAAAGAAAAATAAACACTAGATTTCCTTCAGTTCAACTATCACTTTATTTCTATTTATTTTATTTATTTTTGGAGACAGGATCTTACTTTGTCACCTGGGGAAGAGTGCTGTGGCATCACAGCTCACAGCAATCTGTCTCTTGGGCTCAAGTGATCCTGTTGCCTCAGCCTCTTGAGTAACTGGGACTATAGGTGCCACCACAATGCCTGGCTATTTTTAAAGATGGGGTCTCTTGCTTAGGCTGGTCTGAAGCTCCTGAGCTCAAGCAATCCACCTGCCTTGGCCTCCCAGAGTGCTAGGATTTTAGGCATGAGCTTCCATATCCTGCCACAACTATCACTTTAATGAAAAATATACACTCTTAAAAGTTTACATGACACAAAAGGGTATATATTGAAAGTCTCCTTCCCACCCCTAAACACTATTTCTATTGCCCACTGGCAAGTGTAAATATAGACTATCCAAGAATGCATATGTACATATATACATACATGCACACGAGCACACCCCTACTTCTAAACTAATGAATAGCAGCATCCTATCCACGCCTACTGTTCTATAGCTTGATGTCTTTTTCTTAACAATGTATCTTGAAGATTATTCCATACAAAGACATACAGATATGCTCATTTTAAAGGTTCAGAAATACCATAGAAATACTGTATGTCTGTATATAGAAATATACTTTCAGAAATACAATTTGGGGGCGCGTCCGCGCCTGCACACCCCGCACGCGTGCGTCTGGGTGGTCTAGTGGTCTCTTGGGGTCTGTCAATGGGCTCTGCGGCCTAGCATCCCCGTCCCTGCCGCCCTGCCGCCCATGATCGCTTGCCGAGGCCCGCGAGGGGTCGCTGCCGAGCTTCCTACCAGCTGGCCCACCAGAGCATGGCGGCCATCCCCTTCAGAAGCTCGCTCATGGCCACCCATGACTACTACTGGCACCGCCTGGGCTCAGCTTCCAGCAGCAGCTCCTGTGGGAGCACCGAGTGTGCTGGGGAAGCCATCGCCCACCACCTGGGTTTGCCCAAGGCTGACTCGGGTCACTGGTGGGCGAGCTTCTTTTTCGGGAAGTCCACACTCCCGTTCATGGCCACAGTTGTGCAGTCCCCAGAGCACCCTGAAGCTCCCCAGGCCTCCAGAACCATGAACACCAGTGGCCTAGCCTGAGAAGCTATGAGGAAGCAGCCCTGCGGCCAGCCCAGTGCTGGGCCCCCATCCTGACATGAGCCCTGAGCCACAGCCACCAACTCTGCAACCAGGCTGCAGGACACCAGAGAGAAGATAGTTCTCAGACAGCAGAGGCAGCCAGAGCCCTGGACTGTACTGCCCATGCACACACAGCTTTCCTGGCACCCTGTAACTCTTCACCTTGCACCAAGTAGCAAATAAACTCCAAGCAGCCAGCAACCAAAAAAAAAAGAAATACCACAATTTATTGAACCAGCTTCCTATAAATGAACATTCATGGTCTTTCCAGTCTTTTACTATCACAAATAGTAATGCAACATTTTAATATACATACTCTGCAGTGTGCATGTATAAATATGCTTATAGGGGCTCTGTGTGCATAGCACAGCGGTTACAGCGCCAGCCACATATACCAAGGCTGGCAGGTTCGAACCCAGCCTGGACCAGCTAAGTAACAATGACAACTGCAACAGAAAAATAGCCAGGTGTTATGGCAGGCACCTGTAGTCCTAGCTACTTGGGAGGCTGAGCCACAGAACTGCTTAAGCCCAAGAGTTTGAGGTTGCTGTGAGCTGTGATGCCACAGCACTCTACCGAGGAAGACATAGTGAGACTCTGATTAAAAAAAAAAATACATATATATGCTTATAGAATATATGCCTAGTACTAGGCTGTCAGTTACTTATTCTGACAAAAACTGCCAACCCTCTTCTACACAGTATATGATCAAACCTCATCACTGACTATCTCTGATAAACGAGAACAGGCCATCATTACAGTTTCAATTTGTATTTCTTTTGATATGAAAGGCTGCATACATCATCATGTTTAAAAGCCAACCAAACAATCTTTTTCTACTCATGTCTTTGACTATCGCTCTACTACATTTTTATTGATTTCTAAGAATACTTTGTATATTAAGGAAATTAGCTCTATCTTTTACAATTAACATTAAAGGCATTACCAGCAGCCCCCCAGCTACAAATGAGATAGGCTTTGTAGGTTTGTTCTTAACTTGAATTTGTATCTAAGTTGGAACAGATACATTTACCTATAACAGCCTCCATTTGAGTTGTATGTAAGTCCAATGTTTGCAATGAGGGACTACCTATGTCTTATTTCACTACATTTTCTATATTGCTATTGTTTGTATATAAAATTGTTATTGGGGCAGCGCCTGTGGCTCGAGGAGAAGGGCACTGGCCCCATATGCCGGAGGTGGTAGGTTCAAACCCAGCCCCGGCCAAAAACCACACACACAAAAAAAAATTGTTATTGACTTTGTTAATTTTGCTTCCAGCTATCTTACTGAATTTTCTTATTAGTCCTTTTGATTTTCTCAGGACACACGAGCATTCCATGTGCAAACAATAAACATACCCTTGTTCCTTTCAAACTCTGCATACCTTTCTCTTGTATAACTGTATGGCTTAGTACCTTCAAAATGTTAAACACTAATGGTGGGAGTGTACATAACAATACTGCTTTCAGAATTATTCCATTCAGCATGAATGTAAAGAAAAATACAAAATTAATTCATTTATATAAAATATACACTTCAAAGGGAATCTTTTAAAAGTTGAAATATTTCTTAAACCATTTCAGTATCAATCATTTAGCTTTGGGCTCTAAAATGTGTAATCCAAATCAAACAAAAAATTACAATTTAAATACTATTCTTACATCCAAAGCTGGCAAGGAGTAGACTAAGTAATCTAAATGCAGGCTGAAGTCTGTCGCTCACCTTCCCGTCTGTCGGCTGCCACGCGAGTCTGCAGATGGATTTTGCATTTGTCATGTCGTTGCATTTTTGCAGCAGTGGCCAACTAACAACACATGTCTGATTTTTAAAAAGAAAATTAATTTTCCTTTATGAAAACTCCCCCTGAAAATATATGCAGAACTGAATACATTTAATAGGTGGTCTCTTCAAACTGATATATATTTCAGAAAAAAGCAACTTAATGCACTTTAATTTGTATAAATAATACCTGATTTACCTAAATTGCTTTAAGTCTTTCAGAACTATGAAGAGTATAATCTTTTTTTTAAGGCCGGGGTGGGTTTAACTCACCACCTCCAGGATATGGGGCCAATACCCTACTCCTTTGAGCCACAAGCGCTGCCCCGAAGAGAATAATCTTAAATAATTAAGAGTACTTCCTATGCAGAATAAGCAACCATACTCAGTGAATGAACACACAAATACAAAAAGGCACATTAAAATCTTAAAACATCTACAAAAACAAAACTTTAAAGGTCTACTAGTAAATATTAAGGGGTCAAAATCGGTCTTTCTAAATAGCTCAAGAATAAAGAGAAGCAGCTGTGGCCACTGAGGCACATCTGTGAGGGGTCATCTTCCTTGTCAGTCACGTTGTCCCTTGAGATGACAAGCTCTCCCTGACTGCTTCAGGAAAACCTAACTGTTCCCTCTGCCAACTGGAGAGTACTTTCCTTCACAGCCCCTTTAAAACGTTTATCAGGCTAAGTTAAAGTAAGTTATATGTGAGGTTATCCAAATCAAGTGTAGCCAATGCTTTATTTCTGTATCCCCAAAAGCTAACACAAGGCCCCCCCCCACACCATTTATCTTATAAATATGTAATAACTGAATTCAATGGCTTGATTCACAAAACCTGAAAAATGAAATATAAATCTATTATTCCCCTTGTGATTGGGTACAAAAGTCTTCAATGTATTTTCTTTTGTATTAAACTACTGTGGAATTTGATTACAAAAATATTTAAATGCTACATTTACACAAAGAACTCTAAATAAAACAATTATTAATTTGGCCCAATAACACAATATGTTAACACCCAACATATGATGAAAATTAACAAAAGTTTTAAGTTTAAATTGATGAGTTTACCTGATCTGAAATTTGCCACACCCTGACAGATCCATCACAGCTAGCTGACGCCTGCAGGAATTAAACAATAGATTCTCATGATACTATAACTCATAGAAACTAGTTCAGCTGATTAAATCAATAGCTTTTTATCGACTGGGTGAAATTGTCTGCTACCTCTCTTAAAGTTTATTAAACATATTCTGGAAAAACACAAAGAGAGGGAAGTAATAATTACCAGAAAGACGTCCTCAGGATCAAAGGAAAGGCTCAGAACAGGGGCGTCGTGTCCTCTCAGTGTTCTCTGTTGGCTGCTATCTGCCACATCCACAATTTTGACTAGAAAATCACTAGGAACCACAGAAGTGACACACATGAATAAGTGCCAGTACAAAAGCCTCTCTCCTAAAAGCTTTCAACCACAAACTCAAAGTCACAAAAGTAAATGCTATAATTTCTTTCTAGTAACACAAAATTTGGAACTCAAATTTAATAACTTATCTTTTAGTTTTGCCCTACTAAAGGTGCTGAAAACCCAAGATTTCCCATATATTATAATACAAATACTTCCTAAACAGTTCCTTCAGTTACATTTTAAGCTTGTATTACTTACTAATAACAGCCAAGCCATTTTAAAAAGAATCATGACCATTTTACCTCAGCAATTCAACCAATTATATTTTTTCCTATGACAAGCATCAAGGGAAACTAAAAATTCTAGTTGTACAGCTCAAAGTCTAATAATTTCTTTTTATTTTTGAGACAGAGTCTCACTCTTTGCCCTGGCTAGAGCACCATGGCATCACAGCCACAGCAACCTCAAACTCCTAGGCTCAAGTGATCCTCTTGTTTCAGCCTCTCAAGTAGCTGGGATTACAGGTGCCCACCACAATGCCTGGCTATAAAATAATTTGTAAAAATACTGTGTCAAGCTATCTTTTGAGCATTTATTGAATATGCCATCTGGAAAGTGATATATTTCAGTTGTCAAGGAAGTATAAGTATGTCTTCAAAAACTGTTAGTAGGGCTCGGCACCCATAGCTCAGTGGATAAGGCACCCAGCCACATACACCAGATCTGAAGGGTTCGAACCTGCCCAGGGCCTGCTAAACAATGACAACTATAACAAAAAATAGCCAGGTGTTGTGGCGGGCACCTGTAGTCCCAGCTACTTGGAAGGCTGAGGCAAGAGAATTACTTAAGCCCAAGAGTTTGAGGTTGCTATGAGCTGTGACGCCCTGACACTCTACTGAGGGCGATGGATTCTGTCTCAAAACAAAAAAACTTTTTACTAGATAAAAAGGCTTGAACATAAAAATGAAACAACAAAATGAAGGGACAGAGTTCTGAAAATATTACCCTGAAATAAATGAAGAAGACCTTTTTGTTGTAACATTTTTATTTCCGAATGTCAAAGAGCCTTACCCAGACCCAGCAGCAATTCTAGTGCCATCCACATTGAAGACCACGTGGTTTGCATTTGTAGTGAAGCGAGTCAGTATGCCATCGGGAACGCCTTCAGGGAAAGTGTGGACTTGAACAGTATTGTTAGAAACAGCAGTGACCAATTTTCCATTCTATAAGAAAAATAAAAGAAGAAACACTGGCAAAACAAATCTAGATCAACTGGGAATCTCTCCATAGGTAAAAATCCAGGAAAAAACATAAAAAAACTCATGTCAAGAGAAAAATTATCACTCAATGTACAACTTTCTTGAAATGTCATTAGGAAGAAAAAAGGAATGTTTCATTGCCAGCTTTAGAAAACTTAATTTTTTACCTTTACTAGACATCTTTTAGCCTCTGATTTCTCTTTTACTTCAAGTAAGAAACACATAATTAAATAGTATTTTTATGGACCCCAAGTATCATAAAAACAAAGGAGACTACAGAGACTTTTTTTTCTTTTTGAACCCACCAGCCCCAGTGTATGTGACCAGTGCCCTACTCACTGAGCTACGAAGGCCACCCTACAGAGACTTTTTCAAGAAAAAACACAGCAGGGCAGCACCTATGGCTCCAGGGGTTGGGGGGCCGCCCCATATGCTGGAGGTGGTGGGTTCAAACCCAGCCCTGGCCAAAGACTGCAAAAAAAAAAAACCAAACACAGCTAGTCTTGAGGAAAGAGGGCGCCAGAAGGCACGGCCACAACAGCGACTACAGTGTTGTCCTGTGTTTCCACAATAAAATCATTCTATGTCTTTTTGTAGGGTAAAGTCTATGGCAGAGACTGGAGTGATGTGTCTATGAGGCAAGGAATATGGAGGACTGTCACCACTACCAGAATCTAGAACACAGGACTCCAAGACTCTCCCTCAGAGCTCAGGAAAAGTCAACTTTGCTGCTCCCTAGAATTCACCTACTGTAAACTAAGTCCTTTACTAGGATTAGCAATATTTTTCATCCTTGCCAATCCTATAGGAAAAAAAATACCCAATGGTATCTGACTGCTTAATAGGGAGATTTAAGCTTATATTTAATGTATGTTGGTCATTTATGTTTTTTTTCTGGAAATATATTTTCCATTATATATGATCATTTGAAAAAGAATATCTACATTGTCTAAATACCATCTCAACTACCTTAAATGAGCCTGGTTTAGAAAAAGTATGAATCCCATGGAAAGATTTTTCCAAATACAATATACTCAAGTTAAAAGTCATCACAAATAAAGAGCTCGGGCTGGGCGTGGCAGCTCACACCTGTCATCCCATCACTGAGGAAGCTGGCTGAGGCAAGTGTTTTGCCTGAGCTCAAATGTTCCAGACCAGCCTGAGCAAGAGCTCTATTAAAACAGAAAAACTGGGTGGCGCCTGTGGCTCAAAGGGGTAGGGCGCCAGCCCCATATGCCAGAGGTGGTGGGTTCAAACCCAGCCCCGGCCAAAAACTGCATTTAAAAAAAAAACAAAAACAGAAAAACTAGCCAAGTGTGGTGGCAGGCACCTGTATTCCCAACTACTGGGGAGGCTGAAGCAAGAGGATCCCTCAAGCTCAGGAGGCTGCCTTGGGCAACAACCTGCCACAGCCCTCTGCCCAGGGTGACAGAGTGGAAACAGTTTCAAAAAAAAAAAAAGGCTCAGCGCCCGTAGCTTAAGAAGCTAAGGCACCAGCCACATACACTGGAGTTGGCGGGTTTGAATCCAGCCCAGCCCGCCAAACAACAATGACAACTATAACCAAAAATAGCTGATACTGTGGCTGGCACCTGTAGTTCCAGCTACTTGGGAGGCTGAGGCAAGAGAATCACTTAAGCCCAAGAGTTTGAGGTTGCTGTGAGCAGTGACGCCACAGCACTCTACGGAGGGTGACATAGTGAGACTCTGTCTCTTAAAAAAAAAAAAAAAACCCTATCTGCTTCACACAAAATGTCAGAAACATGGGAAATATGAATGTATTTTGAGAAAGTTAATGAAACATTCTTTTTTTCTACAACAATTCTATCAGTTATCTTTACGAATATCTTAAGTCTGCTTTATGAGACCGTAACAAAATGCCACAGACTAGGTAATCTATAATGAATAGAAATTTAATGGCTCACGACTGTGGAGGCTTGGAGGTAAAAGATCAAGAGGCCAACACACAGAGAGGGCCTTTGTGTTTCATCCCATCAGACACAGGGAAAGAAAAGGCAAGAGAGAGAGCAAGGGACCAAACTCACCCTCTCATAAGGAACCCACTCATGAGGCCGGAGTCCTCACGGCCGAATCACCCCACTAGGCCTCACCTCCCAACATTTTCATATTTGGGATTGAGTTTCCAACGCATGTACTTTTCTTATTTTTATTTTTTGAGACAGTGTCACTCTGTCACCCTAGATAGAGTGCTGTAGCATCATCATTGCACTGGTGTCATCATAGCTAACAGCAACCTCAAACTCCTGAACCCATGTGTTCCTTCTGCCTCAGTCTCTTGAGTAGCTGGGACTATAGGTCCTTGCCACCATATCTGGCTAATTTTTTCTATTTTTAGCAGAGAAGAGGTCTCATTTTGCTCAGGCTGGTCTGGAACTCCTGATCTAGAGCAATCCTCGCACTTTGGCCTCCCAGAATGCTAGGATTAAAGGCATAAGCCACCACGCCGGGCCGTTAACATAAGTTTGTGGGGGGGTCACATTCAAGCCACAGTAGTGAGCTTACAGGTGTAAACCACCATGTCAGGGCTCTAACATATGCTTTTGGGGGGCACATTCAAACCGTAGTGAGATAAAAACACCACTAAGACACCCCACAAAGGAAAAAACGGAGAATTTAAATGTTTCTTAAAAGTATAATTTTCGGCTCGGCGCCTGTGGCTCAAGCGGCTAAGGCGCCAGCCACATACACCTAAGGTGGCGGGTTCGAATCCAGCCCGGGCCTGCCAAACAATAATGG